CCACCACAGGGCTCCCCAGCTATGGATACTGCTAAGGGAAAAACTTGCGGCACCAGTGCACGTGGCAAGCATGCACACCTACTGTGGAATAGACAGGAGCAACACATCTCGAAGAACGCCAGTTATGGAACAGGTAACTGTCCTTTTTTATACCGGCATCATGAGTGAGCGGTGCCAGAGAGCGCTAGAGCCAACCCAATGGACACCGTTAAGGGAAAAATTTCTGTCAACTGTGCTCAGAAAGCTATGCTTATTCCCAAATAAATTTGTTAGTCTCTAAGCTGCCACAAGTACTCCTCCTCCTTTTTCTTTGTGCTCGGAGTGCACAAATACCTGCAATGGAATGGACGTGTGCAACACATCTCAGACAACAACAGTTACAGAAAGCTTAGTAACCATTTTGTCTGTGAATACCATAAAAGACTTGTCAGTGCCTGGGCATGCTAGAATTGAGTCTGTGCTCAGGGCTTCTTTCAGTTCATAAAAGCCCTGTTGATGCTGTTTGGACCAGACAACCTTGTGTGGCTTCCCCTGCTTACACAGATCAGTGACAGGAACAGTCAGAATACTAAAATGCAGGACGAACCATCAATAATATCCTGCCATCCAGTAAAGGATTGTGCCTATTTTCTTGTCTGGGGTGTGGGCCAATTCTTAGCCTCTGCTTTGGCAGGGTCTGGTTTTATGCAGCCCCTCCCCAATCTATGGCTGAGAGAGCCTACTTCTGCCTGCCCCACCTTGCATTTCTCTACTTGTACAGTCAGGCCTGCTGTCGGAGTGTTGTGAAGCACCCACCTTACATAGGTCATGGACTCATCACAGATCTGACTGAAAGTACACAATCCCCCCAGGCCATCGACTAACCCATCTACCAGCCTCTGGCAGGCAGCTAGGGCCCCCTTGAAGCCAAAAGGACCAGGAAACAGGTACATGCCCATGGTACATATGGGTGGCATATGCCAATTTGAGTCTGGCAGCCAAGTCCAAAGGCCTCTGCTACTAACCTTTAATGAGGTCAATTGTAGTCAGGAATTGGGCCCCTCCCAGCTTGTCCATTCTAGGCACAGGGTACACGTCAGACACTGTGATAACATTTAGCTTTCTACAATCCACATACAATCTAATGGACCCTTCCTTCTTAGGCATTAGAACAATAGGGGAGGCCTCTGGACTATTTGACCATTAGAATCACCCCCAACTCCTGCATGTCTGGAATCTCTGGAGACGGGAGAGATTCCAGAAGACTGGAAAAGGGCAAATATAGTGCCCATCTATAAAAAGGGAAATAAAAACAACCCAGGAAACTACAGACCAGTTAGTTTAACTTCTGTGCCAGGGAAGATAATGGAGCAAGTAATTAAGGAAATCATCTGCAAACACTTGGAAGGTGGTAAGGTGATAGGGAACAGCCAGCATGGATTTGTAAAGAACAAATCATGTCAAACCAATCTGATAGCTTTCTTCGATAGGATAACGAGTCTTGTGGATAAGGGAGAAGCTGTGGATGTGGTATACCTAGACTTTAGTAAGGCATTTGATACGGTCTCGCATGATATTCTTATCGACAAACTAGGCAAATACAATTTAGATGGGGCTACTATACGGTGGGTGCATAACTGGCTGGATAACCGTACTCAGAGAGTTGTTATTAATGGTTCCCAATCCTGCTGGAAAGGCATAACGAGTGGGGTTCCGCAGGGGTCTGTTTTGGGACCGGCTCTGTTCAATATCTTCATTAACGACTTAGATATTGGTATAGAAAGTACGATTATTAAGTTTGCGGATGATACCAAACTGGGAGGGATTGCAACTGCTTTGGAGGACAGGGTCATAATTCAAAATGATCTGGACAAATTGGAGAAATGGTCTGAGTTAAACAGGATGAAGTTTAACAAAGACAAATGCAAAGTGCTCCACTTAGGAAGAAAAAATCAGTTTCACACATACAGAATGGGAAGAGACTGTCTAGGAAGGAGTACGGCAGAAAGGGATCTAGGGGTTATAGTGGACCACAAGCTAAATATGAGTCAACAGTGTGATGCTGTTGCAAAAAAAGCAAACGTGATTCTGGGATGTATTAACAGGTGTGTTGTGAGCAAGACACGAGAAGTCATTCTTCCGCTCTACTCTGCTCTGGTTAGGCCTCAGCTGGAGTATTGTGTCCAGTTCTGGGCACCGCATTTCAAGAAAGATGTGGAGAAATTGGAAAGGGTCCAGAGAAGAGCAACAAGAATGATTAAAGGTCTTGAGAACATGACCTATGAAGGAAGGCTGAAAGAATTGGGTTTGTTTAGTTTGGAAAAGAGAAGACTGAGAGGGGACATGATAGCAGTTTTCAGGTATCTAAAAGGGTGTCATAAGGAGGAGGGAGAAAACTTGTTCACCTTAGCCTCTGAGGATAGAACAAGAAGCAATGGGCTTAAACTGCAGCAAGGGAGGTCTAGGTTGGACATTAGGAAAAAGTTCCTAACTGTCAGGGTGGTTAAACACTGGAATAAATTGCCTAGGGAGGTTGTGGAATCTCCATCTCTGGAGATATTTAAGAGTAGGTTAGATAAATGTCTATCAGGGATGGTCTAGACAGTATTTGGTCCTGCCATGCGGGCAGGGGACTGGACTCGATGACCTCTCGAGGTCCCTTCCAGTCCTAGAATCTATGAATCTATGAATCTATGTCAGTGACTCCTTTCTCTGGCCTGCTTTCCCAGGAACCCTGAAGGGTGAACTTTTTATTGGGGCCTGGGTTCCACCTCGTAGACACTAAGGCCAGGTCTACACTACCGCAGTAGTTCGACGGCTGGCAATCGAACTTCCGGGTTCGATTTATCGCGTCTGGTCTGGGCGCGATAAATCGATCCCGGAAGTGCTCGCCGTCGACTGCGGTACTCCAGCTCGGCAAGAGGAGTACCGCGGAGTCGACGGGGGAGCCTGCCTGCCGCGTGTGGACCGCGTCTGAACCGCGGTAAGTTCGAACTAAGGTATGTCGACTTCAGCTACGTTATTCACGTAGCTGAAGTTGCGTACCTTAGTTCGAATTGGGAGGTTAGTGTAGACCAGGCCTAAGTGTGGTCTGGCCACACTTATTAAAAATGCCTGTAGCCCCCCTCTGATCTCTGCTTGCTGTGTGGAGGTTCAGTGAGCAGAGAGGCCTGTGGAGGCCAGGGAGGGCCTGGCTCCTGTTTCTGCCCACAGATCTATTAGGGAATTCTCTCCCTCCACCTACCAGCATCACACCTGGCCACAGCCAGAGTCTCTCAATCATAATAGGGTTTCATCATGTTCACATGATACACTTGGTGCCAGGGGGAGCAATTAGCCACTGACTGCAGTGCACTTACTCCACTTTACACTGAGATGAGTGGAGGATTTATAAAATGTGCCAAACTCCTCCATGATGTAAAGCTGTTGAGTTCATCTATGATACTCCAGGGGCGAAGCTAGGCCACATGCAGTAGTGTGAGTAGCTAAAATATGCAAATTATTCTTCATTGTACCTACCCACACTCTGCAGCGTATAACGTGTTTTAAAATGCTTTGGATATTTTAGAAGAAATCAGAAGCAGCATCAAACACATCAGTATTTTATTTGAGGGAGAGTGGGTGCAACGTGGAAGATGTTAACACTTATTTGCTGTAGTGCTCTGGTTCTAGGGGAATGGAGCCAGGAAAAAGTAAAACATTCCTTAATCTCAGCCAAGCACCATTTTATTGTCTGAGTGAAAAGGTCACGCAGGTGGATAGTCACACTCCCAGCAGTTAGCTGAATAGAACACACTGTCTTTTAATCAGATTTGTGCGGAAAGCATTCAGTGAGGAACAGTAGCTGCCTAGTGTCACAAAGGAAAGAGATTTGCAAGGGTAGCACATGCTGACCCGACAAGGAGTTTAGACTGCAGGTGACCAGGGCAGATGCACATTGTTGTCCTCCCATGCCACTTTGAAAAATAATGCAAGTCTCTGACCACCACCAAACACAGCTGAGGACATCCAAGTTGTGTCCCTTTGCAGGAGCCTGCTAAGCTTTTCAGGGGAAAGGCTGAAAGCCACTGATCACCAGCCATTAACTTGTCAGCAGAAACAGCCCCATGGCTGGTCTACTGACCCAGCTCCACCAGTGGGAGTGCTAGACAGGCCAGCAGCATTGTAACCACCATTCTTTCTAGAGCTGCCCCAAGCAAAGTTAGGCAACACTGGGGCAGAAGATCAGTACCCAGTGGATTCTGGAACGCCCCTTGGTGCTAGCACTCGGAGCAGCTGTAGGAAATTTTAAGATAAAAGTCCTAGTACAGACAAAGCCCATGAGACTTTTTTTTTTTTTTTAAACCCACACTAGCCTCCCCCACAGTCCAGAAACAATTGATCTTCAGCCTACCAGCATCAAGGCTTACGGTGATGTTAAAATTCAGAATCTTTATACTGCTGCTTAGTATAACCTAGAGGGTACAAAGGCACTTCCCCAGTACAGGGGCCCTCTTGTGCGAAACAGGATCAGTATGAGCCTGTAGGCAACTGCTCCAGTTATCACCTTTTCCAGCCTGTTTCTTAGCCCTACATTCCCTGGGGCTTTACTTCTCAGTCTTGCAGCATCCATGTGACATGCTCCCAGCTCAGGCACAAACCTTCACCTCAGCCAAGGAGGAAACCACAGATTGTATTCACTGTCCAAGAAAAGGCTATTTGCCCAAGCAAGTCAAACTTGGCAATAAATACACACCCACCCGATAGCAGCTCATCCATCAAAGGCCCCAGGCCATGCCTTGGAAATGGGGCTTTGCTTGTGCTCACCCCCAGTAGCATGACTTTCCTGGGGTAATACGAGGAGGTAAGAGTTTACGCTCCTCCAACAGCTTCCCCCTGGGTTTTTTTAAGTGGTCAAAAGTGAAATATGACATTTTAAAAACTAATTCAGCCACTTCACAGTTCTTTGGTACAGACATTGGCCACAACAACTGACCAGCACACTTGACACCACAAGCACATTTTGCATATAAGTGTTTGCATTTTTTTTTTTTTTGGCTGTGTAAACAAAAGGGAAAATGCTTCCAAGACCCACTTGCCAGCCATCTGCCCAGAGTTTCTATTTTGTTTAAAACACTCCCTATGCATAATTTATTCTATCCTTTGAAGGAGTCCAACAGGAAAAATCCCAGCTATCGCTTCCGCTCGCCCTTCTGTGTCCTCTTCTTCTCCTTCTCCTTCCGCTCCTGCTTGGCCAGCTTGTCCTTCTCTCGCTGGTGTTTGTCTTGCTCTTTTTTCTTCTGGGACTCGTCCCGCAGAGAATCTCTCTCCAGCTTCCTCGCGTTTACGACAGCCTCCACATTTGTGTTACGGAACAACGCTGGTTGCAAGGTAAGGAGGATAAAGGACACGCTTTGGCTGGGCTCATGTAGGTCCCTGGGCTCTTTTCAATGCTCTCTCTCCGTGGGTGTGTAGGAGTTAGTGCACACAGGCTGTAGTGGGGGCTGCCTTATTCCAGACCCACCCCCCACACTTTCCAGTAGCACCTAATATTGCGGCTTTCCTTTACCAGGGGCAGCAGTCTACACTGCGCTCTCTCCATGGCTGCTTTGCATGGGACTCCCATAGAAAGCAGAAACTTAAAGGCAGCTTCTGGGTCCAGGTGCTACGTGCAGCCAAGCTGTACTCCACTGCTGTGTGCCCAGGAAAGCAGCATGCTTGGAAGCCGCTCTTCAGAGAAGATTCTCTCACTTCACAGTCTGCCAAACGCTAGCCCCAGTGCACCGCCAGAGCCCCTCGGCCGCAGCAGAAGGCTGTCATAAGGGCCAGGGAAGAGATTCACCCTCAGATTGCTGAGCAGTGGTTTTTCACAGCTGACACCACGACCAGCCTTCCTAGCTCCGGCACTACATCTCCATGGGGTGAGCCAGCAGTTCCACCAGCCCCACTCCTGGGCCCCCCCAAACTCCCGTGTGCTAGGGTGCAGTGATGCTATAGACAGTGACTATGCCCCCTGCTCAGGGCCCCAGAATCTCCCCTGCCTTGCTGAGCCACATCACTGGCACTGCCATCAGACACTACTGCTGTGCTGTGGCCAGGGTGAAGAGGATTTGCCTCCCTAAGCCCTGGCAGCACCCATCTAGACGCACATGGAATCTGGCTGCCCACACTGCTCTGTGTGGTCGTGCCCCATTCACCTGGTCAGAACTCTGCTCTGCAGAGTAACAGAGCTTACATACCAGTAGCCATGGCTTCTGCTACACGCGATGTGCAAAGGGAGGGCAATGGATGTGTGCCCTCAGCTTTTGCTTCTTTAGGAAGTAAGCCTGAAGGTTTGGGGCGGAGGGCATAGCAAGGGAGGTGCTGCTTGACTTTTCCATTAGCACAATCAGGAATGGCAAGCCGGTTACACCCCTCTTTTGCTGCAAGAGTATTTGTTGCTCTGAGCACAGGTTTGTACCCTTAACAGTACATCTTAAAAGCTGATATGGTGACAGATGGCCAGTGCCTGTGAAAGCTGATGGGATTTTTATGTATTGTCGGTTAATGATGTTAGGGCAAAGCCTTGGAGAAGTAGCACTGTAATTACTTTAAATCTACATAAATAGGTAAAGTGGTACGACCCCCTTCTGTGGGCACAGTGATAGCTATACAGAGGTGCTCATCCTGGCGACGTGTACAAGTGTGACTAACCCTAGAACTTGACCCACCCCAGAGGGTTGTACCAGTAACTAGCAGTACAAAGCACTCTGCGGAGTTGCGCAAGAACCTCCCAACAGGGGCAGATCCTCAGCTGGGTAAATCAGCTCCACTGACTCAAAGGAGCTCGGATGACTTGCACCAGTTGTGAGCCTGCCTCAGCCGTGGCTTGGGCTCTCTCCTTGTGTAACTGAAGGGGGACGGGGCTGAATCTTTCAAGGAGTGCTCCCCCCAGTCGCCCCCCTCCCCCGGTGAGTGTCGGATGCTTAAGTGAAATGTGGTTAGTAAGAGGGAAATGATCTGAAGAAGTCACTCCTCCTTTCCTCACTGGGTCTGCAGGGAAGAGCTGCATTTCCAAGGTAACAAAACCCAACAGTGGGGAATGGGACCTTTCAGATTTTTATACATCAGGAAGCAGGTGAGGGAGAGAAAACAAAGGGAAATTCAATGCAGAACTTACAGTCCTTCCAGAAAAGCCTCAGTGGCTAGCGAGCTGGGATTTTCAAAGGATACATTTTTCTGATCCAATCGTTAGTGCTGCTGCAGTGGCTCCGTCCTGTTCATCTGCTCCAGTGAGAGAACTAAGGAAACTTGGAGACTATTAATGAAACTTTGCACCCCGAGAGTCTCCTTTGTCCTAGGATCTCAAAACACGTGAGACATTCATTCTTTCAACAGAACTGGTGAGGTGCCAGAAGCTGGGGCACAGACTGATCAAGGGACTTGCTCAGTGTCCCGCAGAGTGAGGAATGGAACCCAGGAGTCCGCACTCCTTTTCCTCGGCAATAACACCAGGTAAAAGTCCCTTTATTTCAATACACTCAGCTCTCCACAGGAAAGCCTGCCCTCTGCCCCACCCATTCACTCCTGTCAGAGGAGCAGCTTGAAAGTCTTCTGCAGAAAGCGAAGGCTGCATACAATACATTAGCTGAGCAGGCTGCTGTGACCAGCCCATTCTATTCCTGGAAACTGCTTCCATGAACAGATCTCACAAGCCATGGCAGGCTGTGGCCCAGCTCATATTGTTGCTGGGGTCTGGGATGGAGGTGGGGGATGCCAAGATCAGTGCACATGAGGGGGCAGGAAGTCTCTCCCCACTGCTACCCAAACCTGCACTGCACAACTGGATAGGCGCATTAGAGCTGTTTTTACACCCTCCTCCAAAACATCAGGTAGCAACTACTGCCAGAGGCAAGGGCTCAAGTTCAATGGACCAATGATCTGCTCTGATCTAGCAGGACGTAGGATGTTGCCATCAGGAAACTAGTGATAGAAAATGAAAGTTTCCCAGCGCAATAGTTCCCTGCCTTTGGTTTGCTTCCATGGCTCATTCAGACTGTGCTGCACAGAACACCGAGCAATACCACTCCTGCCAAACCAGCTACAACAGAATCGAAGGGGGCTTGAGTGGTCCTAGGTCACTAACTAAAATCCAAAGGGGCAAGAAAGCCACGGGAAGCAAATTTAAACGTTCACCCTCAAAAGCAGCCTGGGAAGGTGGCCAGCACATTCTCAACATGGGGCTTGTGGTAGGGAAAGGATATTCCTCCTCGTCTGTTACATTGGCATACTGGGCCAGGAGGGCAGCTTTCCTCAGCTTCTCATCCTGGGAAACCTCCTTTGGCTTCACGATGATCTGGGCCTGCTTTTCGATCATGCTGGCAATTGCCTGGATCTCATCTGGGAAGGAGAGAAATCAGGGCATTAATGAGTGCCTCCACTGCGGCCAGCAGCTGGTGTCGGACATCGCCAGATAGAGGCCAGGTGCCTTTTCTCAATAGACAACGGCTGGCGTGTTTGTCTGCAAAGCCTTTCAGTCAAAGTGTTTCACACACTTTACATGTACAGCACAACTGAAATGCAGCCACCTCTGGGGAGGAGCATGATAGTCAACCAGCACAGTGTGTATGAATAAAGAAAGTTTTGGCCAATGAAATCCCTCCTCTTACAAAAATTGTCATGTGATCTTCAGAGTACACAGAGCAGACAGGTTGGACATTATTAAAGCTGTAACCCAGCAAGTCAGGTGTGGAACTCTAGCTGTGTGCTTCAGAAAATGAAGGGCAGAGCTGGACGCTGCTGAGATTTGAACTTGTGGCTCAAGGGAGTTGGGTTATTTCAGAGCTGTGGCTGAGTAGTCCAAGCCACTGGCTGCTAGAGGAAATGGCTCAGACCCTCGCAATCAGGTTAGACCGACCACCCTTGGCTCCCCTTCCTGATCAGTGTGGGGTCTGCAGACCCCATCACACCACAATTCCACAGACATGAAAAAAGTTACATCGGGCAAGAAGCCATCCGGCTACGAGGAAATGCGGAAGCAGTGATAAAACCTAAAAATATCTAAAGGATGGAAAGAAGGGAAAATAAATGGTAAGGAATAAGTCACATGTTAAAATATGTAAGCAACTGAAGCCAAAGGAATCAATGGCCAATAATGTTAAAGACAATACGAAGGCATTTTTAGAACATATTAGAAATAAAGGTCCACTGGAGGGTGTACCCATCCCAGACATTGTGGATGGAGCAGAGGATTTACCATATGTACCCAAGCAGCCTCTGCTAAAAATACCACACTTCCAAATCACCAGGCCAGGTAACGAGTCCTATCCCTTCTGAGAAACCCTGAGCCCCGCCTGCTCGACGAGGATCTAGCTGAGGAGCTGTCTGACGCACTAATGTTAGATGTTAATAAATCTCGGAATATGGGGGAAATTCCCAAGGGCTGGAGGACTGCCCACGTGGTGCCAATAGTTTTAAAAGGCAAAAGCAGCTCTCAGTGCAGTGCTACAGCAACGTGAACTGTGGCTGCACAAAAAGGGGAATCTAAAACAGAAGAGGGAAACGCTCTGAGCATAGTCAGACGGCTACTAGAACATGGCCTAGTTCTGGTGTTCACACTTCAAGGCAGATGTGGACATACTGGAGAGAGTTCAAAGGAAGGTCACAGAAGTGATCCAGAGGCTGGAGAACAAGCTCTATGACGTGTGGCTTAAGGAGCTCAATCTATTCAGTGTATTGACCAGCCTGGCTCGCTGGTCATGGTCCCTTCTGGCCTTGGAATCTGTGAATCCCAGGTCAGGCCCTTCCTTCACGGGCTAGGGGGAGACCAGGATTGCCTGTGTTACCCTCAACATGTTTCTGACCCCTGTAGCTCCATATTATGATCACTATAATTTAATCTTATGCTTCAGACAGTCTCCTGCAGGGCTCAGTAAGGAATTTCCTCCCTGAGGCACAATTGCAATCTGGGAAGCTATTTTTTTTCCACCTTCCTCTGAAGCATCTGAGATCTGCCATGGCTAGAACCAGGATACCAGTTGGGTGAGCCCGTAGGGTACAGTGTTATGGAGAAGCTGGTGTCTTCGATGCCTGGCTGACGCTCACAGTCAAACTGATCACCAGATCTGAGGTCAGGAAGGAATTTTCTCCCAAGTCAGATTGGCAGGGACCTTTGCGGTTTTCCACCTTCCTCTGCAGCATAGACCATGGTCCACCTGCTGGAGCCATCTGGGCATCTCATCATTTCCTGACCATTGCACGGTCCTCAGGCAGTGGTGGCACCTCAGTTTCTCCTGTTCTCTGCCCGTGAAATGCAATAGTTGAATCTCCAAAGGACTAAAATGCTTTAGTTTAACTGATGTTATCAGGATCAATATAAGGGTATCTGCGTGAAATGTAATGGCCTGATATACACAGGAGGTCAATTTAGATGGTCCCTTCTGGTCTTAGACTCTACAAAAATAGTCAATACAGTGTAGGCCCAATGGTGAGGCCTTGCCTGCACTGTAAAGTTCTGCCAGTTGAATTATGCTGGTATAACTAACCAGAAAAACGCTCCTCGTGTGTTATTTACTCCTGGGGGAATTCTGCACCATTGCGCATGCGCAGAATTAATGAGCCGTGCATATTTTTAATTTTTTGTGCAAGAATGTTGCTGCAGTTCTGCCTTTTGCCCACCAAAGGATGCTGTGACACTAGAACACAGCAGCTCCCAGCCAGCTAGGGAAGAGAAAGAGCCTGCCTTCTTTGCAGCGCCTGTCGGGCCAGGGCAGGAGAGAGGGGCTATAGGGGGACAGACAGCGTGGGGCTGCTGCAGGGGCAGACGGGCTCATAAGGGCTAGTGGGGGGATGACAGACTGGGGCAGGGGCTGAATGGGAGTGGAGGCGCAGGGTCACAGGGGGGAGGGAGGTGCAGGGGCAGAGGGGAAGGGGGTGCAGAGCTACTGGAGGAAGGGGTTGGCTGAGTGGGGGCACAGAGACGGATAGGGGAGGGGGTGCAGGGACACAGGGGAGTGGCTGAGTGGGGGAAGAGACATCGGGATGGGGGAGGGGTGCAGGGCCATATGGAGATGGGGGAGTGGGTGTCTGAGTGGAGGTGGAGGGACACATGTGGATAGGGGATGCAGGGACACATGGGGACAGGGGCAGATGTGCCAGACTGAATGGGTGAGGCTAGGGGTCAGCCAGGGTCTGCCTGGGGGAAGCTCCCTAACAGTCCCTACCTGGCCCCCCAAAAAACCTGTTCCATACTTTTCGCACCCATACCCAACAACCCTCCAAGTTCACATCCAGGCTCCTTCCCAGCAATTACTATCCTTTCCCTCAGCCCCTCCGTTACCCCTGACTTCCCCAAGCCTTTGCACTGCTTCTGGGGGGTGCTGGAAATACAGTTCTGTATTGTAGTTTAAATGAATTACTCAGAGTTCTCTATTAATATGTCTAGTAAGGAATCTATTTGTCAAAAAGCATTTCCTGAATCTTTTTTGTTGTCTGCATTGTTACAGACATACTTGCTGACAGGTATTCTGAAATAAATGACCACAAATAATTGAAACTGGTGTGATTATATTGTGTTATTTTGACAAATAAAATATGCAGAATTTTGCAGAATTTGAAAATATTGTGCGCAGAATTTTTTAAATTTTTTGGCACAGAATTTCCCCCAGGAATAGTTATTGGTTGTTATTTGTGTAGTGGTAGTTCCTAGGAGTCCCAGTCACAGAGCAGGACCCCACCGTGCTTGGTGCTGTACAGACACAGAACAAAAAGACTTTGCCCCAAGTGCTTATGATCTAAGTATAAAACAAGAAACAACAGATCGATACAGAAAGGGGGAGCACAAGGAAACACGGACACAATACTGGTCCTCATGATGGACCGTGGTCTCACCACACCAGCTGCTTAACTATTCTCAAATTTTCTGTAAGCATCACAGCAAATGAGTTTTAAGGAGGGATTTGAAAGAGGATAATGAGGTAGCTTTGTGGATGTTTACGTGGTGCTCCTCCCAGACATGAGGGGCAGCATGGGCAAAAGCACAAAGGTGCTTGTTAAACACCTCTATCGGTATAAAAATGCTTATAGCAATACAGCTTATGCCAGCAGTTTGGGGAATCAACATAAACTATACTGGTATAAGCATTTTGATACCGATCATCCCCCTAACCACATAGCTATGCCAGGAAAACTTACTTACATATTTCTTTAAACAAAGAAGCAAACCCCTCCAAGACAGGTTGCATGGTCCAGGCCTGAGCACCTACGGGCTACACCTAGGTTTCCAAGCTGTAGGTTTTTGTGAAGGAAGGTTTTACACAATCTAATAGAAGAAGTACTCTCTTCCCCCTGCAGGACTATGAACTCAAACAGCAGCAGTACAACCAACCAACCCTTCTAAGCAAAGTGAAAGGCAAAAACGCAGCAATGCCAATGAACAGTAAATGAGATTTGCAACCGGATTAGTAATCGCAGGGTTTACTGCTAACAAAGCAGTTTTTAGGTGTAAGTCTCATCTTGACAGTGTCCCTTGTATTACATGTGCTATTTGACTAAGACATGCGAAGCGTCAACACTACCTTCTTTTTTTTCTCTTACGCCAACATTCTGAGCTTCAGACCACTTCACGACTATTTCCCTGCAGACATCTGGTAACAGATCTTCTTCCTAGTAAGAAAAACAGAGATGTTCAGTTTCTGAACTGAAAGTCAGTCTGCTTTAAAATCAGCATGAATAAAAGACTCCTAAAGAATCAGAACAGCAAGAGACTAGCCTGAAGTAGAGATTTAAGTGTAGTATGAAGAGTTAATGGGATATAAGCAGTTCTTAAATTCTTTGTTGAACTGGGGTGAACACCTATACTTTTGGCCAACACGGAGCAATTTTCCAAGGCCCTTACATAGTTTAAATATCTATCATAGCCTTCAGGTGTGCATTCACGTGATCCCCACACAAATATCAGCACGAAGGTTTTGATCACTTTGCAGCGTTTCAGGAGATGCTGTGCTGGAATTTTTCTTACTTTAGTGAGATTCAGCGCTGGCAGGGTGTGCTGGGTTCATAGCCCTAGCAAGCGGTGCCCTCTGCCCGCAGCGCAGAGCAGGCACAACATGGGCAGCAGCAAGACAGAAGCTTCCCACCATCAACAGTCAATCTGAGCGCTGTTCTGAAAGGGACCACCTCGAAGATTGTCACAGTGACTTTTGCCTAAAACATTCCACTACTCTTTCCGTCAGTTCAGCTCCCCTGGTGGCAGCACTAGCACCAGATGTGCTGTGTGGCATAACCCAGCTGAGAGCTGTTTCACATGGTGCTCCACACACCCATGACAGTCTGGAGCTCCCCTACATTGTCCTAGGAGCCGGCATGCTAGGCACTGGACAAACAGAACAGAAAGACAGTTCCTGTCTAAAGAGCGTACAGACTAGGGATAAGACAAAAGCCAACAGGTGGATACAAACAGTCTGCCGGGGAGTACAAGAAAACAGACAATACTGGTCAGCATGATAGGCAGTGCTCTCAGCAAACCAACAGCCCAATTGTTGTTTTTATAGGCCTCATGGCAAAGCCATCTTCTCGGAGATCCTTCTTGTCCCTCAAGCAAAGGAAGACAGAAGAGAAGGTAGAAGATTCTGGAAGTAAACTTCTGGCTAGGTAAGTGGTGGAGGGTGAAGGGCTTTGGTTTTGTGGAACATGGGCCCACTTTCTATGGGGAGAGGGGGCTGTGTAGTTTGGATGGCCTCCACCTCAGTAAAGGGGGACCAGTCTCCTCAGGAACAGGCTGGCTAGAGTCATCAGGAGGGGTTTAAACGAATAGCAAAAGGGAAGGTGAAAAGGAGGAGGGATAGCTCAGTGGTTTGAGCATTGGCCTGCTAAACCCAGGGTTGTGAGTTCAATCCTTGAGGGGGCCACTTAGGGATCTGGGGCAAAAATCAGTACTTGGTCCTGCTAGTGAAAGCAGGGGGCTGGACTCGATGACCTTTCAAGGTCCCTTCCAGTTCTAGGAGATGGGATATCTCCATTAATTTATTTTTATTTATTTATTTTATATGACGACAAAATCAAGAAACCAGAGGACACGAAGAGAAGAAATTCTTGAATTGTTGACACACCAGTGCTAGGACCTGGGTAGCAAATGAGAGGAATTGGAATTGCTCATTTATGAGCATAAATTCGATCGCGTTGGCATTACTGAACCCTGGGGGGATGAGTTGCATGACAGGAATGTTAAAATAAATGGTTAGGAAGGATCAAGGGGGCAAAAGGGGAGAGGAAGTGGCACTACATCAAAAACGGCATTACCTGCTTCCGAGTCACAGATAACTCAGAAGAAAATGATCCTCAATACTTATGGATCAAGCTCCTAACAGATAAAGCACAAGACCGGGTACTAGCTAGTGTCTGCTACAGCCCACCAAATCACACTAAGGAACAGGATGACTACCTGCTTACACGCCTATCTACAATGTGTAGGAAAAAAAGCTGCATGATCACACGAGACTTCAATCTGAATGACACATGCTGGAGGTCTCATGCTGCCAAAACTAAAACATCCTTGGAATTTCTAAACATAATAGATGACAACTTCCTAACCCAAAAAGTGTTGCAGCCAACATGGAGGAATGCTGTGTTAGACCTCGTCCTAAAGATAAAGAAGAACTGGTCACAGAACTAAAAATTAATGGTAGCTTAGGTACAAGTGATCATGACTGGCTCACATTTATAATGTACAAGCAGAATAAAGCCCAGACCAGCAATACATATACTTGGCGCTTTAACAGGACCAATTTCACAAAGCTGAAAACAGATAAGAGCCAAATCAGCTGGGAGTAAGAATTTAATCAGAAAAGTGTGAATGAAAATTGGGAATCATTTAAGAACATCTTACTAGATGCCCGAAAAGCTAACTTCCCACAACTGAGGAAGAAGGCTGTGCTGGTTAAAAAAAATCATCCTGGTTTAGAGGGGGAATGAAGGCAGCTGTAAAAAAGAAAATAACATTTAACAAATGGAAGAAAGGAGAAGTTGATAATAATGAATATAAATCAGAAGTTAGGGATTGTACAAAATTGATAAGGGGAGCCAAGGGCACAAGGAGTAATCTATGGCCAGCAGAGTTAAAGACAACAGGGAGGTTTTTTTAAATACATTAGGAACAAAAAGAATACTGACAAGGGTATTAGTCCATTACTAGATGGAAGGGGCATAGATTCCGGAGTGCTGTCCATCACAGCTCAACCAAGGAATGTAGTTGTTTCACCAGCTGTTTCTCTCTTGTCTCCCCCTAAAATGGGAGTTGAGACCAGGCAATAATTCACAAATTAGGGAAACACCAGCAGAATTCACACTGGATTTCTTCATTTAGAAAAAGGCTACAGCGGTGGTTCTCAAGCTTATTTGATCATGCCCCCCTTCTTTGTGTCTGTAGTAGTTTATGGCACCCCACCACACAAGTACATACACCAATAAAAAAAAAAAAATCAACATGCAAGTCTCACTAAGTATTAAAAACAGCAAGGCACTGATTCATACAGAGCCAACGATCCATTGTAATAAGAGCAAAAGCAAAACTGTGATTGTGATCGTTGCTTACAATGAAAGGTGCACACCGCATCACAGCAAATGGATTAACATATAGATGGCAACGACTTTGTATAATGCTATCGAAGTTTAACAGAAATCTGTCAAAATGCACAGCATCACCTAGAGTCAAATGCACAGCACCATCTGAGGTAGGGTGACCAGATGTCCCGATTTTATAGGGACAGTCCCGATTTTGGGGTCTTTTTCTTATATAGGCTCCTACTACCCCCTGCCCCGTCCCAATTTTTCACATTTGCTGTCTGGTCACCCTAATCTGAGGGACTGATATGTGTGGAGAAATAAACTTTGCTAGTTATTCACTGCTGTGGGTAAAATGTGAGCAGTTCCCCCCTGCCAAAAAAAGTTTCTCATGCCCTCCTCCACCCTCATTTGAGAGCCTCTGGTCTACAGAAATCTCACCTGACAGCTCACCAGACTCACTAGCTAACAGCCCTGAAGTTCAGAAACGGATAGACTCGTAAGTCAAACACTTAGAGGTTTTGAGTGTTTCTCGGCAGACAGATGATCGTGACAGACAATATGTTTGTCTTATATAGTTTTAAGGGCCTATTACAGGACTGTACCATGTTATCTGGCTCAGAATCAAAGATGATTTAACCCTATAGACACCAGTAAATGAGCAGAATTGCAAAACCTTCAGCACCCAGCCTCATAAACAGACAACTGCATGAAGTCTCAGAAAAAGCAGAGAGGTCAATGGGGACTAAGCTCTTCCCATGGGACAAAGCCAGCCAGTCACAGGAAGAGAGTATCAGGGGAGTGAGAAGGAAAGTCCCAGGGTACTGTATAGCCAGAGAGAGCAAGGTCAGGGAGATTGTAGCAAAACACAGGATGACCACATGGGTCCCAAGATTTAACCCTATCAGGGGGACAGTCTTGAAATGACACAAGTCAGGGTTTAACCCCCTTTACAGACAGAAGGACCAGAGCCCAGAGACAGAGGTACAAGAAAAAGGGGGTGGGGATGGGGATTAATAATCATCAACAGGATGGACCCTAGGACTGAGGTAGGGCATCAACACAAGTGAGGCAATTCGGGGGTCACGTGGGGATGCCTTCAGCGTCTGCGGGCGTCAGGGCGGGGGTTAAAATCCCCCAGGGTCTCAAACCCTGAGGGAGTTAGATCCAGGGAGAAATTAACGCGCAGAAGAGACGGGGGGGGGGGGGGACTGAGCTGCTCTCCCCGACCCCTGCCCCTTGTTTCCAGCCCCAATCCCGTGGGGGGGGGATAGGATCGGCACCCCGCCCCCATCGCTCCCAGCGCCCAGCGCCCGGCGGAGCGGCCCGCGCCCTCACCAGGCAGGCGGCCAGGACCCCGCGCAGCGCGTCCAGCCGCTCCTCGTCGCTCTCCTCCTCCCGGAGCAGCCCCTGGATGTAGGTGGCGTAGACAGCCCGGTCCAGCCCCAGCACGTCCAGCCGCCCCGCCAGCCACGGCTCGAAGCCGCCCGGCCCGACCGCCGCCTCCCCGCGGCTGGGCGCCGCCATCTTGGAGCGGGGGTGTCTAACGCGATGCCTGCGGGCCGCTGCGGGGCCCTCTCTGCCCATGCGCAGGGGCTCGGGCATGCGCAGCCCTGGGCACAGGAGGCTCACGGGAGCTTGAGCGCCTCCCCCCGTCCTCGTCCAGACTACGGGAGCCGCTTGGGCCAAACTCCTGGTGTCCTGGCGCCTTGCGCCCGCCCTGTCCCTTCCCCCAGGCCCGGCTCACCGGGCAGCGCCCCGCCGCGGGTCAGCCCTGGCTGGGTAGCGAGACGGCTCGGAGCCGGACGGACAGACACCCGGCTGGGTAGCTAGATGGCTCGGAGCCGGACGGACAGACACACGGCTGGGTAGCTAGATGGGTCGGTGCTGGACGGACAGACACACGGCTGGGTAGCTGGACGGCTCGGAGCCGGACGGACAGACACCCGGCTGGGTAGCTAGACGGCTCGGAGCCGGACGGACAGACACCCGGCTGGGTAGCTAGACGGCTCGGAGCCGGACGGACAGACACACGGCTGGGTAGCTGGACGGCTGGGTAGATGTGTAGTGTTGTGGAGTCATGTCACTCCCAGGATGGTACAGACATTAGCTTGGTGAGAGAGACGAGCTTCAGAACTCTTCCTCAGATCTGGGACAGGAATTCCGATCTGTGACACTCTGAGTAAGTTTCCCAGACCTGCAGAAGAGCTCTGGGTGGCTCAGAGGCATGTGTCTCTCACAACAAAATATATTACCTCACTCAGCTTGTCTCTCACATGAATAGATGGATGGACAGAGGAATGAATGAATAACAGACAGACAGATAGATGGACGGATGGATCAGATAAAGAAGGGATAGATCAGATAGATGACTGATTAACTAAAGTACATTTGGGATGAACTGGTAGATGGAATAAATTTTGGATGGACAGATAGATTGGACAAAGCTCGGAGGAATAGAAAGGTAGGCGGGTACGTAAAACTGGAATGGGTAGATTTAGATATAGTTAAAAGTAGGAAAGACAGATTAGGTAATGTCAGGATAGATTTAAATAGACAACAATACTTAATCCTTAAATTGTATTACTTTGCAAAGATGAGACAGTATCTTTATTCCCCACTTTTAGAAATAGGGAAATTGAGGCACAGAGATGGGAAGTGACTTGCCAATGGTCGCTCAGAAGTTAGTAGCAGAGCCAGAAATAGAACGTAAGCCTCTATCTCCCTGTTCAGTGTCCAAAAGCTGCCCCTAAGTTATACAAAGCCACACTCATTTGTAATGCTGTACTGCGTTCCGTGGCAACAACAGATCAAACTGTGCCATGCAGCACCTTGTTCTGAGTGGGTAGATGGGGCCTGTAGAAACTACAGTCCTCACTTGCAGTGTTCCACCTTGACCCAAAGCTGCCTGTTTACTGCCAGAACTGGATTTTCCAACAGCATCCTGAATTTACTGCATTTTGATCTACTGGCAGTGGCAGTAGCATTGGGGAGGGATAGCTCAGTGGTTTGAGCATTGAGCCCGCTAAACCCAGGGTTGTGAGTTCAAATCCTTGAGGGGGGCCACTTAGGGATCTGGGACAAAATCAGTACTTGGTCCTGCTAGTGAAGGCAGGGGGCTAGACTCAATGACCTTTCAAGGTCCCTTCCAGTTCTAGATGATAGGATATTGCCATTAATTTTTTTATAGTGTGTTATCTACTATACCTGTTAATGTAAGGAGATGATGTGACTCACTACCCTGACTTTGGGCAAGTCATGCAGTCTCTCAGCACCTAATTTCCCCATCTGTTAAATGGGGATAATGATGCTTCCCTGTATAAAGTGCTCTGAGATCCTCAAGTGAAAGGCAGTATAAAAGAAAATCAATTTGAATTTAGACCTGGTGAGAAGTGCCAGATTGACAGCCCTAGGATACTTAGCCTTAGAACAGGCAGCACCGGAACAGGCTTCCCTTCCCTCACAGATTGCTACTTGTCTTTGCCCCTCCAACCTGATCCAAGGTGCTCAGATACTACAGTGATGAGTGTGGTATAAGAATCTGAATAGAATAGAATAGAATAGAATAGAATAGGGACTCTATGGGAGAGAGTTAAGCTCTCCCGTCCATCTCAGCCCTGGAGCTGCTCTATCGAACACACAGTGTCCCGTCAGCAATAATCCAGAGCCCCTTGCCCCCTGCTGCACTTGAACCTTCCCTTCCCGCTCCCGAGGCTGGAGGACATGACGCTTTGGCCGCCACCACCACAAATGTTGTGTGAATGGGCAGGGAGATTCCAGTTTTGCTCATGGCTTGGCCTTGATGGCTAAGCTGTCATTAGTGGAATGAACAGTCTGAAAACAAACCACCATGGTACCGACAACAGTGTTGTTAACCTTTGCCAGGTGCCCATGTACCAGGGTATCTGATCTGCTCTAAATAATTCAGCGTGGGAGCTAAAGGGCAGACAGCGGCTGTGGGGCCTGCTGGGTGCCAGGCCCGCTCAGTCAGATCCCTGAGACGTCACTGCCTTCGCCCCCGGGTGCTGGAGCCTGTATTGAGGCAAACTCCCACCCATCCAGCAGGGGTGCCGGAGCCCGGGGGTGGCCAGGGGCTTCGCACGTGCCACAGGGCCATGTCCTCGCGCTGCCGTGACGCCAGCACGTTGCGCCGCCACGCAAACCCGACAAGGCGCCAGCCCAGGCGCTGCGTGACTGGGGGGGAGGAAGGGGCCCAAACCCCATCGCCAGGCCCCGCCCCCTCTGGCGGGGAGCCCACGTGGCGCCAGCGTCAGGGGCGCGCGGGCTTTGCAGGGAGGCGGTTGGTCCCTCCCCAGCCGCCGTAGCCCGCTGGCTGTTCCGGCGGCGGAGGGGGCGGGGCGGAAATTTAAATCGGCCGCCGCGGCCGCTGTGAGGAGAAGGCGGCGGAGCGGAGGTGAGAGCCCGGGGCGGGCTGGGGACCCCGCGAGCCCCCCGGCCCCGGCTCTGGGTCCGGCCCCGCGCGGGCTGGTCGCGGCTCTCTCTGTTCGCGGGTTGCAGGCGCCGGGCCGGGCCCACCCGCTGCTCCATCCCCCATGGCCGCGCCGGAGCTCGGGAGGCGGGAGCCCGGTACGTGAAGGGCGGCGCGGGGCGCTAGGCCAGGCCGGGCCGGTGCCAGGTGTTCTCGGGCCCGGCCCCTGCCCCTCGCCCCGTGTCGGCGCCGGGCCGGGCCTGGGGGCAACAGCCCCTGCCGGAGCCCGGCCGTGCGGGTCAGGCCCGCCTCAGCCCCGGGGGGACGTAGAGCTAGAATGTAACTGCTTGTGTCGGGCGATGGCCTCGGGGCTAACCCCGGGTTCAAAACGTGCCCCCCCCCCCCCCCGGACAACAGGGGATGGGGAGTTAAGAGATTTAACCCTTTCTTCCCTGGACGTGTGTTCTGTGCCGCGTTGCAGCTTGTTTCTCTTGTGTGTGGGGCAGGAGGAACCCAAAGCAGTTGACCCCCCCCCCAGTCCCTTGTGCGCTCCCCACTGCTCATCGGAGAGGCTGACTCTCTTGCTGGCTGTGTGTGTGGTTTTTAAGCAGGTAGGATGGGCTGTCAATCAGAGAAAAGGCAAAGGAGGCCTCCAGAGAAACAGCAGCAGCAGCAGGAGGTGACTGGGTCATCCAAGAACCTGCCCTTCTTGGGAAAATCCTTCTACCTGGACCTGCCGAACAACAAGAATGTGGAGTTTCTGGTGGCGACCATAAAGCAGCTGGGTGGGGTGAGTATGGCGGCACCTTGCCTGTTGGAGAGCCTGAAGCAGCTGCATTCTAGCGCCAGAAGAGCCAAAGACTCAAATTGATGCTGCTGTGGGAGTGTTGCATTGGCAAGGGGCAGAGTTGCTGAATGGACTTGGGTGGGGGCGTGAAATGCAGCGCCTCTAGTCCAAACCTTAACCTGAAACGGTGGTGGGTAGGAATGTGTTCCCGGAAAGCCCCGGCCCTGTCACTTTACCCTTTGCGCTCCCATCTGCAGGACTTTCAAGCCCAAAGATGGGGACAGTCCCTCACAAGCTGCTTGTAGGTCTATTCACATGGGGCTGGGTTTTCAAGAGTCCAGCTCCCCCAAGTGGTGCCAGTTCTTCAGGAGCTCAGCCCCTGGATGCATGTTGGGTGCTGGTCTCTTGTGAAAATTTGCCCATTAAATGGGAGCTGAGCTCTTGAAGTCACCACAAGCCAATTTTTCAAGAACCGTGCATTTGGGGCACTGTGGGGGCACTGTGGTTAATGCTGGGGAAGGCTTCTGAGTACACGTGTAAACTGATTCTCAAGTGTCCCAGCTCACTAGGCTGACCAGTACAGTCCTTACAAGGTATATTTCAGTTGCATATAATTAGTAGTCTAACATGACTGGGGAGGAGGCCTTAAGGCTGGAAGGCAGTAAGGGATGGAGCTGGAAGGGGAAAAATCCCTAGTTTAAAGACTGGGTCTCACACAGCACTGTTCCTGCATCTAGGCAGCTGAAGATGGTGGTTGCTTTGCTTTGCTGGTTACCAAGATGTTCCAGATCTTGCTGTGGACTTGGTGGCTCTGCAGCTGACTCTGTTTTTGTCTCTGGTCCAGGTGATTGAAAGCTTCTTGAGTAAAGAAATCAGCTATGTGATTTCCAGCAGCAAAGAGGCCAAACTGGACAGCGGGCCTCGGAGACAGACTGAGAAACGGAGCAGTGCAGCTTCAGGGGATGCCAAGGCAAAGACTCTGCCCTCTGCTGTGCCCAAAGGGAGCCATGCGGGGCCTCACCACAAGCCAGCAGACAGTGTAAGGACTGCGAAGGCCCAGGCAGCCTTAAGCCTTGGGGCAGTGGCTCGTGGGGAGCAGAGCCTGAGAGCAGCAACTGCAGAAGAGCTTGTCTGCCGCACTGAGAACACCTGTCTATTCATCTGTCCCAGTCCTGGTGCTGTTTACACTCCGTTAAATGAGCCCTGCCCTCTGGGCAGTGGCCCGAGATGCCAAATCTTTCTATAGCATTTTTAATCTCCAAACATTCTGCAAAGTGCCCATAGAGATCGGTGCAACTGCCTCTGGGGTGC